TGATGTCTGCTCTTGTTCATGTTTTCCATGACATTCTAGTGCATTTCTGCCTAACTCTGCCATTCTTGAGAACCTGGCCAAAGTGTGAAAGTGTCCCTCCTCCAGCCTGCCATCTACTTTCTTTTTGCTTTTTGTTTTTGTGTTTAGAGAAAAAGCAAAACACAAAACACAGACATATATAGTGTAGAATTCAGGATATATGGTGTACCAATACTACTTTTTCACCCTATTTTAGTCCTCCTCCTTATTTTAAAATACAGGTATAGTTAGAAGATACACTGGAAGACAGAATATAGCTTGTAACAGTAGACTTTTTGGAATGCTATTACTTTTTGGAATGTTTGATTTTAATGAATGATTATATTTGACTAGTCCAAACACTAGAGGTAGCCCAGAAGGGTTGCAGCTGTAACAAAGGTAATAAAGAACCAACCACCCCATGGGTGGATACAGTGACTCACACGTATAATCTCAGCACTTTGGGAGGCCAAGACAAGTGGATTACTTGAGGTCAGGAGTTTGAAACCCGCCTGGCCAACATGGAGAAACCCTGTCTTTAATGAAAATATAAAAATTGGTCAGTTGTGGTGGCACTCACTTGTAGTCCCAACAACTCGGGAGGATGACACCGTGCCCAGCTAGTGTTTTTGATTTTTAGTAGAGATAAGGTCTTGCTATATTGCCAAGGCTGGTCCTGAACTCCTGGCTCAGGTGATCCTCTTGCCTCAGCCTCCCAAAGTGGTAGAGTTACAGGTGTGAGCCACTGTACCTGGCCAGTAGTGCTTTATTTTACATACTTTCATAGATGTGTTGTGCTGAGATTACATTAGATAAACAGTTCTAAAAGTGGTCAATAATCTGTAAAGGTTCTAGGCTAAGTAAAAGCATACTTAGTATCTACCTGCCAAATGATGATATATGATTAGTTCTCTCAATCTACAAGTTTTTCTTTGAAATTTAAAGTGTTTCTTCATTGGAGTTGAAGAAGTAGCCTCAGAAGTAATGATTTTAGTCCATCATAATAAAACTTGAAAGCCTAAAACCTTTGCTAACTTTTTGGATAGCTGTAGGCAATACATGGTCATAGCACCTATATGTGTGATATGGAATAAATTCTAAAGTAATTGTCTACTGGAAGAGAGATGTGGGGTTGTCACAAGGTGAACTCAAAATTGAGGGTCAACCTGAGAGGCCACATGGGTTCTTGGTTTCATGCAGGGAGGAATTGAAGAGCAAGGCTGCATTGTGAAACAAGTTTATTAAAAGTGAAAACAAGTTTATTAAGAAAGTAAAGGAATAAAAGGGTGGCTGTGCCATAGGCAGAGCAATGGCATGGGCTGCTCGACTGAGTAAACTTAGATTATTTCTAGATCATATGCTAAGTAAGAGGTGGATTATTTATCAGTTTTCTGGAAAAGGGGTGGGGAGTTCTGGAACTGAGGTTTCCTTACCGTTTTAGACCATATAAGTTAGTTTCTAGACCTTGTCATAGCATTTGTAAACTGTCATGGTGTTGGTGGGAGTGTCTTTTAGCATGGAAATACATTATAATTAGTGCATAGTGAGCACACAGACAACCAGAAGTTCCTTTCATTGCCATCTTGGTTTTGGGAGGTTTTGGCTGGTTTCTTTACTGCATCCTGTTTCATCAGTGGGGTATTTGTGACCTGTATGTTGTGAAACCAGTCCTGCCAACCTCCTGTCTCATCCTGTGCCTAACCTCCTGCTAAGGCAGCACAGCAGGTCTTGGACCCATTTTACCCAGCCCCTGTTCAAGATAGAGTCCTTTGGGTTCTCACATCTCTGGCAGGGCTGCTGTCTTTTATGTATCTTTTTAATTGTCTGGAGAAATAGGAAGTTTTTTCTTCCATACGAAGTGTGAGAGAAAATGTGTCATTGTTGTTTTCTCCTGCATCACTTAGCCTGCAAATATTTACTCAGATGATTGCATATACATTGTGTTATCAGAGAGATTTCATGGAAGATTATTAAAAGAAAATGTTGGCTCTCATTAATAACATTTTGAGAAATGACTTTAGATACTGCTGATTACTAGCTATTGGAAGTGAAGCAGGCATGCAATCAAATTGGAGCTTTAAATGAATTACATATACCGATGCTATACTTGGCAGCCAGATATTCTAGATTAAGAACAAAACAAGTGTGTTATGCATTGCTTTGATTAGCATTCCAGAAATATGCCTATTTGTGTAAGTGATATTTGTTTTGTATACAGCATTTGACTATTCCACAAGCTGCCAAGACCTTGGCTATGTGGGATTATGGAGTTTTCAAAGGCTTGAGACTTTTTGTGCTCTGATGTCTATAGTTGTGAAAATGCACCTGTATACACATGTAGCAGCATATTTTTATAATTTATATTTTTAGCAATGAGAGAAAACAAAAATCACATGCCTATTTTCAGACATTGTTAGCCACACAGCATTTAACAGTTTCTTTATGGAATAAATGTTTGTTCCTTGAGTGAAATGATAAAGACTTACTTTGCCAATGGCAGGAGTGCCATGTGTTCACTTCAGATGGTCTTGAGGAAGAATTCGGTCTAAGCGTACTTATTAAATAACCACTAAATATTTTTGCTTTGGAGCAAAGTCGATATAGCCGTAAGTAACAAAATTAATTCTTTAAGGAACTCATAAGATATGTAAGTTGGATAAGTTTTTAAACAACGTTTCATTGCTACTAGAAAATTGGCTTTCGTTTGGGATTGCTATACTGGTTAAAAAAATTGTTTTTGAATATGCTTTGGAGAGGTAAGCACTGTAAGTTGGGACAGGCTCACGTACGTCTTGGAAAAAACTATTAAAGAGCTCAAAAATTTTAAAATTAAAATAATTAAAAATGAATTGTTCATATGCAACATTATTGACTATAGAATCTAAAATATTGTCATAAGAAATATATGCTATTAATGAAACTTATGTAAAGTAAAAAAGACACATTACTCCAAACAACAGTGGTCTGGGGATTGTTCATGGGCAGAGATTCAGCTACTTGCAAGATTACGTCTCTGTTATTTCACTTGGGAAATATCCAACAAACATTTATTCCATAAAGACGATGCTAAATGCAAATATCAAACTTGATGGTAGTTCTTTTTAAAGGTTAGTAAGCATCGGAATTTTCAGTAGAACTTGTTAAGAGAGGTTTCTGAACCCTGATCCCAGAAATTCTGATTGTAGATTGAGAAGAAGGCCCATGAGTTTTCATTTGAAATAAACTCCAAGAGGTGCCCATAATATCAGACACTGGTCATGCTTTGAGCAGTATTGTTATACAGAGTTGACAGTTGGCATGGGGCAGTTAGTTTCATACATATCTTTGATTTTAAAAATTGGCAATGGGTATTGAAAATAAGTTTCTTCATAGAGTCTTCCAGTGTATCTTCTAACTATATCTGTATTTTAAAATAAGGAGGAGGACTAAAATACGGTGCAAAAGTGGTATTGGTACACCACATATCCTGAATTCTATATTATATATGTCTGAAATTTAACTGGGAATTTCTACTGTAATTGGAAAATTTATCACCAATGAATATAATAATGAAATTTATTATTATAATAATGAAGATATATAATAATGAAAATAATCATGAATGTAGGAGAGCTAGGGCCATGCCTATATTTAGATGACTGACATTTTACTACATATGACTATTAATGTTTACAATTATAATTTACATTAAATATAATTTTGACAATCAAATCTCCATGCAAATGAATGTAACATTTTATTTTTTCAACCATGAGGCATAGCTACTATCAGGCACACACAGACATCACATATGTACACACATGTTATATATACTTTATATATTAAGTGTCTATATATTATATATACTATATGTAGCTATATATTATTTGTGTATATAGTTCATTTATTCAACAATCTTACTGTTTATTATTATAGTCATTCTTGAACAATGGAGTCTGGCTAGTGTCTTTGTTAATTAGGATGTATATAGTAATAAGTTATATACAGATGTGTGTAAGTAAACTTCATTTTCTGTTATGAAACTCTCATGTCAGAATCTAATAGATTTAGTCAATGTATTTTAATGGAGCGATTAAACTGGATTTATCCTAATGCTGTTGGATTCACTGAGATAAGGACCCAACTTAACAATACATATGTGCACATATATGTAGACATACATTTAATACAATGCATTTTCACGTAATCACTGGTAGAAGAGTATACAAAAAATAGCCCTATACTGAGTATTTAAAAGAAATGTTATATTAAGTATTCTGAGAAAAAGTTCCTTTGAAACAACAACGTTTGGAAAGTATTTCTTACTGAATAGAAAACATTTCTTGACCGGGTGAGGTGTCTCACACCTGTAATCCAGCACTTTTGGAGGCTGAGGAAGGGAGATCACGAGGTCAAGAGATCAAGACCATCCTGGCTAACACGGTAAAACCCTGTCTCTACTAAAACTACAAAATATTAGGTGGGCGTGGTGGTGGGTGCCTGTAGTCCCAGCTGCTTAGGAGGCTGAGGCAGGAGAATGGTGTGAATCCCGGAGGTGGAGCTGGCAGTGTGGTGAGTTTATGTCACTGCACTCCAGCCTGCATGACAGAGCAAGACTTCCGTCTCGAAAAAAAAACAAACAAAAACAAAAACAAAAAAAACCCCATGTATATGATGGATATGTATATGTATATGTATTTCTTACCCTAATTCCTCTGGCTGATGGTAAGAATCACTGCTTTCCCTATAAGTTTGTGCCAGGAGGTGTAACTTTTGCTTTTTAATTGTGTTGAAGTATGTTTTTGTTCTCTGTTTCATAATGACGCTTTTGCTCACGTTCATTTTATGCCAAGTGAAAAAGAGCAGGTGATTTGTTCAGTTTTCTAAACTAACCAGAATAAATGAGCATTGAAAAGCAACAATCACAGGTGAATTCATTTTCCCCCTTGGCTTTGTTTCTTTGTTTCCATGCTTCATTTATTTTTATTGTCCTTCTATTCTAGTGTCTGGAGCCCTGCAAGGAATCAGAGGACCTGAAGAAACACCAGTGCCAAAGCTTTTGTGAGGTAGGAGAATGTCAGTGGTACTTAAAACACTGGACCCAAATCTGACTGTGCTTACATGGGGTTATGGGTATGAATGGACCCTCTTATTCTTCTGCAGCTTTGGGAGTTCATTAACTGCAGGGGTGTGTGTGTGTGTGTGTGTGTGTGTGTGTGTGTATGTAAATTATTGTAAAAAGAATGGAGCCTTCTCAAAACCTGGCTACACACTGTGTGCATTATTGACTAACAAGACAAAAAATTTTATGATGTATGGAGGTAAGACTAGAAGCATTCTAAAGGTATAGACTGTCACCACCTTCCCACCTTACATCATAGCTATCTGAGAGATTTTCTGCATGCTTTTGAAATATACATGCCACTGGGGAGAAGAGACTCATATTACTGCTAATGGGGTTTCTCAAATATTTTCATCTCATTTTTCTCCCTTGGGGCTCCTCCCCATATACTGGGCTTTTAACTATACAGGAGAGAGACATCTTACTTCACCTGCCTATCAGTTAGATTAGTATCTCTTTATCCATCCATCCATCCATCCATCCATCCATCCATCCATCCATCCATCCATCCAGCTAGCCATCCATCCATCTATCTGTTTATCTATCTATCCACACATATCTATGTATGTATGTATGTATGTATCTATCCATCCATCCATCTCTCCATTCATCCATCCACCCTTGTATCCAGTCATTCACCTCTCTATCATCCTTATTAGGAGACTGTATAATGTTGTCCTAGAAGACAACTGTCTAAAATCACCAATAATGCAAAAAAGGGGAAGAGCTGCTTTACTGGACTCTCTTCCCCAGGGAATACAAGAGGCATAGGCCCTGACATAAGGCCAGGCAGACTGCCTGATTCCAAGGTTTCCAAGGACAGTGGGCCTGAGAATTATGAGAATTTGAAAGTTTTCGGGACCAGCAAAGAAAGAGTTGAAAGAGTCCACTTTGGCAGTCAGGAAAGTTTAGTTCAGGGTCTTGGCCAGAGGAAGTGCCCCCAACATCAGAATGAAATGATGTCATGGAGTATCTCTAAACAGAACTGGGGGGTGAAAGGGAACTCTTCCAAGGATCCAGAGACATTGGTCTGGTCTTCATCCACTACAGCAAATAATGTTATTGTAATCCCATGGCCTGTGTTTCACTCTCAATCTTATTCTGAGAAAATGACTGCAGAATTAGTACAATAATGACTTCATCAATATGTATTGTATGTAAAATATCTTCATAATCTTACATGACCTTTCCCATACTCCTGTAGTTAATCAGAGCAGACAGTAAGTCCCAAAGAGTTATGTGTGGAAGCCAGAAAGGACTGGGAAGTCGAGACTCCTTAAGGGAATGGCTTGTCCATAGCCAACCCTCCAGGTAGAAAATCTGGGTCTAAAACTTCTGTCTTCTGACCCCTCTCACTGATTGATTGTTGTTCCTGGTCTATTGCACTTGGCCAATCACCAGAGGTGATAGTGAGCCCCTTGAGACATAGAAAAGATGCGGCAGAAAGAAACAAAACTGATGATTTGCTGCAAAGACAAGGAGAGTGAGACCATCTCATGTTTTTTTTATGTGTTCTGCTTTTACTTTTTCTGTGCGCCCACTTTAACCATTTTAAAAAGATCTATTCATTCATTTATTCAACATGAACTTTTTGAATACCTACATCATCCCCTGCAGTTTGGTAGAGATATGGCTATAAACAAATCACACAAAAATTCCAGGCTTTTTGGGGCTTATTTTCTCTGCATAAAAGATCTCAGATGTGAATGAGGGGAACTTAAGTCTAATCCTAACTGCAAAATCAACTCACTCTATGAATTCAGTTAAATCCATTAACCTATGTCTTCAACCTCATTTCCAAATGAGGGATTTATCCTATTGGTCATGTACGGTGTTTATTAAAATAGATAATCAATGTCAATGCATAGTACAGAGCTTATCAAGCTGTACAAAAGTAACACAATGGTATTTGTATTATGTGTTATAGGCTTGTGGGTCACAGCTCTGTGAGGTATCTGAATCAACTATTGATTCTGAATTTTTGCCCACATTGGTAATCCTGGTCAACACAATTAGAGCAAACTCCCTACTGGAGTGACTATTGTGCTCTTAGCTTTTATTTTATATTCTATTCCATACATAAGCTATACATCCATATGCATGAAAAAATATATTTATAGAATCTTTTTTGTGTGTGTCATCCAGGCTGGAGAGCAATGGCCATTATTTTGTGATCTCCACTCACTGCACCTTCTGCCTCCTGAGTTCATGTGATTCTAGTGCCTTGGCCGCCCAAGTAGCTGGAATTACAGGCATGCACCACGATGCTCAGCTGATTGTTGTATTCTTAGTGGAGGCAAGATTTTGCTGTGTTGGTCAAGCTGGTCTCAAACTCCTGGCCTTAAGTGATCTGCTTACCTTGGCCTCCCAAAGTGTTGGGATTATAGGCATAAGCCACTCTTCCTGACTTGTTTATAGAATCTTGAGGAACAAGATGTTTGTTTTATAAATTTATTATGCCTAAATATCAATGACTCTGGGCTCATATTTTTACACACGATCACTGAGAAGGAAGATACAATTGAAAGTCATTTGAAACCTTTCTCCCTGTAAATTCCAAATTCAAGAGCAGGTTTCTGTAACTACCATTCTCTGAGGTAACTGTGAGGTGTTCTGAACCAAATCCTGTTTATTAAAATGGGACTCAGGTGTTCAAATTGTAATCGCTTCTGGCAGGAAAAGTTAATTGAAACTTGAAATGTGGTGAAAACAGATGCCATTTAATGTGAGGAGTTTGTTGAGTTGCTTCAGCCCAACGGTTAAATAACTCAAGACTTGATGTTCCATTTTAGTGGCTTTGATTGTTTTTACATCCCTGTGTGTTTTCTGCATCTGTTTTAATCTGCAGTAAGTATCTGACTGTTGTGTTGAAGTAGGCTGAACCTTGAAAACACTGATGGCTGTTTCAGCATTTTTAAGCCTAGTCACTTATGGAGGCAGGTCTAATACAATCCTGTTCATCCTCCCCATTCTCACGTTATTTGTTAGGAATACATACAAATTGTCATGACTCCAATCGATGATTGTCAAAGTTTTCCCTTTGTAAAAGTTCACACTGAAAAGGGACTCTAGGTTACATTATTCTTTGACTGAAAGAGTTACCCTGTTAGATACGTTTATTTGCAAGGCAGTCCAGGTTTGTCTTTTAAGGTGTGGGTTTGCAAACCGTGACTTGCAAGCAAACTGAATTGCCTTTTATTTCATAAATAAAGCTTTGTTTGAATACAACTACAATGGTTTCTTTACATATTGTCCCTGACTGATTTTGTGTTACAACAACAGAATTGAGTAATTGTGACATTATATGGCCCTTGTGGCTGAGAATATCTATTATCTGGCCCTTTATAGAAAAAGTTTGTCAATTCCTGCTCCAAGAGAAAGAACAGGTGAGGACACAGTAGCTAATGACTGTAGTATCAGCCCTAGGGAAGCTGAGGCAGGAGGATTGCTTGAGGCCAGAAGTTCCGGATTGCAGTGAGCTATGATTATGTTATTGCATAATCTGGGCAACAGACTGAGACCCTGTCTCAAACAAACAAACAAACAAAAAACACATACCAAAGAACAGTCACAATTATATTGCAAAATTCACCTAACCATTTAGATTATTGTTACTTCTTAATCTGTATTACCAGCACCCAAGCACCCACTTCTAAACATAAAGCATTGTTCTTGATAATTTTAATCACAAAATAAGTTTTCCTATGTGAAAGAGACTTTTGGAGACATGTTAACAGCAACATATCTAGAATTGGTTCATTTTGTTCTCAAATCCTGATCTCTTTCACTTCTCATTTGATTACCTATGCTTATATGTTACAAGGCAACTTTCTATTTTTAGGCTGATATCAGAGGTAATAATGTCATTTTTAAAAGAGGAAGTTAAACGTTTGTGTTAGAACAGTAATAAAATTAAGATATTTCAGCAGTCCTCTGGATTATATAGGTTTTTTTAATGTATCAATTTTTTGAACATGACATGTAATGATAGATACATAGACAGGCAGATAGATTCTGTTTCGTTGGTTTAATTTGTTAACTAACCATTATCACTGTTCTATTATTTTTATTATTTATTTATTTATTTTTTACCAAATCCAAAATGTACATTTTCCTAGATTGAAATACTCCTTTCTCCCACTTTCTTCTGTGAGCATTTACTGCTATAAATTTATCTCTACACACTGCTTCAGCTGTGTCCCAGAGATTCTGGTATGTTGTGTCATTGTTCTCATTGGTTTCAAAGAATATCTTTATTTCTGCCTTCATTTGGTTATGTATCCAGTAGTCATTCGGTAACAGGTTGTTCAGTTTCCATGTAGTCATGTGGTTTTGAGTGCGTTTTGTAATCCTGAGTTCTAATTTGATTGCACTCTGGTCTGAGAGATTGTTTGTTATGATTTCCATTCTTTTGCATTGGCTGAAGAGTGTTTTACTTCCAATTATGTGGACAATTTTAGAATAATTGTGATGTGGTGCTGAGAAGAATGTATATTCTGTTGATTTGGGGTGGAGAGTTCTGTAGATGTCTATTAGGCCCGCTTGGTCCAGAACTGAGTTCAAGTCCAGAATATCCTTGTTAATTTTCTGTCTCATTGACTTGTTTAATATTGACAGGGGAGTGTTAAAGTCTCCCATTATTAATGTGTGCAAGTCTAAGTCTCTTTGTAGGTCTCTAAGAACTTACTTTATGAATCTAGGTGCTCCTGTATTGGGTGCATATATATTTAGGATAGTTAGATCTTCTTGTTGAATTGTTCCCTTTACCATTACGTGGTACCATTGTGTGGCCTTCTTTGTCTCTTTTGATCTTTGTTAGTTTGAAGTCTGTTTTATCAGAGACTAAGATTGCAATCCCTGCCGTTTTTTTCTTTGCTTTCCATTTGCTTGGTAAATACTCCTCCATCCTTTATTTTGAGGCTATGTGTGTCTTTGCATATGAGA